CTGGAGCCTCCCCAGCGGCGGGGAGGGCCGCGGTGACGCTTTAAATCATTGTGTTAAGGGAAAGCAACCTCCTTTTGGACTTTTTCCCCCTTTTTCTCTCTTCATTCCCTTAAAAAAAAATCTGTGTTCTCTTTGTCTGGAACTTAGGAGATCGTATTTGTTCCAAAGTGCCTCAGATAACATTATTTTCGTTTCCCTTTTGCATTCTCAAACGGGAGGTGTGACAGTAAAGTAGCTTCTTGTCCCATTTGTCCCATTTCTGAATCTGCTTTTTTTTTTTTTTTTCCCCACATCTCTAGATCAGAGAAGCCCAACTGGGATTACCATGCAGAGATACAAGCGTTCGGCCACCGGTTACAAGAAGATTTTTCCTTGGACCTTCTCAAAAGGGCGTTCGTGAACCCTTGCTACATTAAAGCCGAGGAGGAGAGGCGCCGGGGACTGGGACTGGACCAGGAAGCCGCGGCCCTCAATCTCCAAGATAACACTGAGCTGTGGGAGCAGGGGGAGGCGTTTGCGCGCTCCTACCTCACGCAGTGTTTCGAAGGTGCCTACCCCAGCTTGCCGGCCGAGGGGGTGGCAGCGCTGGTCGGGTTCCTCGGCAGCCAGGAGCTGGTGGCCCACGTGGCGCAGAACCTGGCCCTGCAGGACCTGGCGCTCTGCGCGCACTTCCCCGTCCCGCCGCACGTGCTGCACAGGATGTTCTTCGCTGTCGTGGGAGCGCTGCTTGGCAGCAGTGGCCCAGACAAAACGAGCATCTTTGTCAGGGTAAGTCCTTACTTACCTTCTTACACTAGCATCAATAATAGAAAAATCTAAGGGCCTCAGTCAGAAAATAAGAGAAAAGAAAGGCAGCAATTGAATATACTGTGGTGGCCAGAGATTCATAGAGGTTGGCAGAAGTTTATTGATGCCAGCTGAAGCCCAAGGAGATCTATTTTTTTTTTCTTCTTTACCAAAAGGAATAGACAAGATCACTCTGAGTTTACAGCAGCGATATTTTAATATCTGATGACACTTCTAAGGGTAAACTTGTCCTGCACAAAGCCCTAGATGAGACCATTCCAAACAAGGTTGCACAGAAGGGTCTCAGAGCCCCGTCCTCTCACTGGCAGCTGGGGTTTCTTCCTCATGTTTGAGCAGGGCAGCCTTGCCCAAGGTGCCTGTTCTAGAGTGCCAAATACCAAGCCGAGCTGCAGAGCTTAGTTTCACTCATATAGCTTTGCTTAGGAGTGATCTAGCGCTGGGTCTCTTACATAACTGATTTCAGCAGTTTAGTATCAACTGTTTTAATGCATCTTCATGTTGTGTTTTTACTAGCATACACCAGCAGCTACAGCCCTCATTCCCTTTCTTGTTAACTGTAACTTCTAAATATTTTCTGCTTAGGATTTTTTAATTCCTCAACTGATTGGAAAAGACCTGTTTGAGATCTGGGAAGTCATCAATCCTATGGGCTTGCTCGTGGAAGAACTGACCAAGAGAAATCTGCCTTCTCCAGAACCCAGGATTACCAGGCAGACCGGGGTCAGCACGGTTCTGCCGGTCTACTTTGTCGGCTTGTACTGGTTAGTATGGAGTTAGTCCCGGGGCAAACAGCTGTAATGTGGGGAGGGAAGGAGGGACTTTCCCCTTTTCACTCAGGTGCCCTTTGGTCCACGTATTACAGAGAAGAAACCATATAGTGACTTTAATATAAAATGAACTACTTGAACCTTGCCAGTAACTTGTCTTTTTACACATCATGATGACAGTCTGCCCAAAGGGCTTAAGAAGCTGAAATGGGCCCAGGGAAGAGCCTGGGTGCATGTGCTGCTTGAGCTGGCATGGGGACTTCTCAAATAATAAAACCCAATGGCTCTGGAAGGTCCACAGCTGTGCCCAGCTCCTTTTAATTTCTGAAGAAGACTTTTAGTTTGGGGTCAAATCAGGGGCCTTGCAGTCTAGGCAAGAGGACTGGCTTGCACCCATTACAATTGCCAGACACTTGTAACTGGTGTCTCAGCTTTGGTCAGTAGCTGACCTGTTTTTCTGCCCAGTAGCAGCCCTCATTCATGATGCACTGTATAGTGCTCAGGACTTTATGATGAAAATGTGTGCCTGTTATTATTATATGCTTTTTTTTCCCCCTTTTAGTGATAAAAAGATTATAGCTGAAGGTCCTGGTGAGACACTGCTTGCTGCAGAAGAAGAAGCTGCCCGGGTGGCACTCCGGAAGCTCTATGGGTACACAGAGAACAGGAGACCTTGGGATTACTCAAAACCTAAAAAGGGATGGGCAGCAGAAAAGGCAGTCAGCAGCAGCTAGGTGATAAAAGCTGCTGCGTGTGTGTTCAGAGAATTCATAACTTCTCAGCTGAATATAGATGCATGAATATAGAAAGCAAATTTCAGCTTGGTCTTCTGAACATAGGGGCTTGAAATTTGCAAATCAGATGTGGTATTAACATTGTTTTTCTGACTTGAACTAAAGTCTTTTGCACAATGTTTAGTATTTAGTAATTTTCCTAAGTATTACAAAAGCACTCTTTTTCTGAACTCATGCCTTTTGGTTGGGAAGGTTCTCTGTGCATCCCAGGAGAGACCCTCCTTAATGATGTGTAACAGTGTGTGATGACTCCCTGATCTTGAGCATATCCACTGTGTATAGCAAAAGGGTTTCATGGGTGTTTTCTTGATACTTGTTTTGAGCGTGCTGCTATTAAGATCCATTGAATTACATGTGCAACAAGGACTTCTGGGTTGCTTTGTTTTCACTTGTCCTTTGATGCCCAACATATAGACATGGTGGATGATTGAAATTAACCAAAAAAGAGGGGCTATGTGTCAATGACAATTTTGTATGCTTACTGCTTGCATATGGACTTTATCTGCCATACGCACTGGTTTATACTCTGGGCGTAGGCACTGAGAGAGGCTGTGTTTTCGTTATAAATCCAGGTCAGCCGTGCTTCTTACGTGTTTTCTCACTGTGTTGGCTGTGCTGGGATGCAGATCCGGCACGGCTTCCTGCCCAGGGCATGTGCAGAGGCACCTTCTGCCACTTTTGAGGGTGCTCAGCTCCCAGAAGATGATGTTCACTGCAATGAAATAGGTTTCTCCAGACTGCCTCCAGATACTTATAAGGCCTACGCTATCAACACAGAGTGTGTGATTCTTGGAATTGTTTCCCTTCAAAATGTAGTCAAGGTCTGTTGCAAGGTGGAGCCTTCAGAGGGAGAAAGAAAGAAGCTGAAACAGGACAGTGGTTGAAGTGCTTCCTGCCTTATCCTGTCGTGATGCCAGGCTGCAGTCTTGGCTGCCCAGCAGGTCTGTGATGCAGAGCAGGATGCGCACTCGCTTTCACTGCTGATATCCACGGGACCCCGAGTGACAGTGAGGTTTGGCTGTGCTATTTGATGAAACATTTAGTAGTAAATTCAAGCAAAGCAATTGGTTGTCTGCCACTGAGGCACATCCTCGGTATTTGTGGTGACTTGCATCCTAAGCAAAGGTAAAATGTTTATGTGGCCGAATAGCGGGGAAGTCTTTCTTGTGGTTTCTAGCTTGGGAGATCACATGTAGGAAAGCTCAAATGCATAAGGAACAGCATGATGGGTCTAGCATAAAATAATTAGAAAATTAAAAGATAATTTTAAGTGGGAAAAAAATCAGCTAGCTAATCTATTGTCAGCCTGAGCAAGGCCGACAAGGTTACTGTATTCTGGGGGAGTAACAGCATAATCTCAAAAAAGGAGCTAAAACATTATACTTTTTTTTTTTAACCAAATACTCCTGCTTTTCCATGGCAAATGGAAAATTTAAATAAGCTGCTTTCCTGTCATGTTGCTATAAAAAGCTGTGAAATCAACACATCAAACGATTTTTTTATGATGATGATGACGTATAGAAACCTTAGAAGAGCCCTACTTTTTGTCTTCAACTCTTACCAAGTGCTGTGGTAAACTTTAAGCAGGCTCAAACTATACACCTTGTCTTCTAAAGTATATCTGAGCTTTGAAGTTTAGTGTTAAGGGATGCATTTACTGTAGAGAAGTGGACATCCCAGGGCAGATTGTTTTATCTTTTCAGATTGATTCCACTGATCTAATGGTTTGGTTTTTGTCTGTTTGCTGAACCTTGCTGTTCTGGTATGGAAATATAAAACCTTACCTCTGTATATATTTACTCGTCTTGATATTACTGAAATTAGAAGAATTTTGCATTTAGTTCTGGTGTGGAAACTGATCAGGAGAAACAAAGTACAAGACTGCCATTAGAGGGCGACAATCTAAAAGTTCTTTTTTGGTCCGGTAAAAAAACAAACAAACAAAAAAAAAACAGTTATATTGATGGCAACTGCAATAGAAAGAACTAGGAGGTACGCCTTCTTTCTCTAGGTGGTTGGCAGAAATATACCAGTAGGTTTAGGATGATAAAGTTACAAAACCATTTGTAGAAATAATTCCAACATAAGAAGATGCTTAAGGAGAGAGAACATAGAAAAAAAATGGCTTGAGAGTTGAGTGCTAATGGAAATTATTCTCTTCAATTTTAAATGATACAAAATGAGATTGTTTGCAAAATATCTTGATTTATGGTTCATTAGGAATAAAATTCTTGCCCAAACTAAAGCTGCATGTCTGAAGATTTGCCTATTCCATTACGCATGCCTCCTGCATCAAGTAACAACTGTGGCAATGAGCTTAAAACTACTTTTATAATTTGATCTGCCTTTCATCACTAGGGAGCTAATGGCTTTAGAGCCTGGTGCAATTGAGTATCATTTCCTGTTTAAAATATCAGAGTAACAACTTGGTTTGCTTTTATGCTTTTTTGTTGTTATGGAAATATCTATTAAATATTCCATTTCTACTCCAAATAGACGCCTGCCTCTTTGGAAGCATGCGGGAATAGCCTGTTCAGCAGCGTGTATCCCTAGACCAGTGAGACAGCATTTTAGAGGAAACATGTCTTTCAGATTGCCATTTATTAGATGCATGTAGGGCTTAGGATAATTCATTATTGCTTCTAGTACTGAGAAGAAAATAATACCTTTGTATATAGATACATACTTAGTATATACCTAGATATATATGTACCCTCACTTTAAGACCCTTGGTAATGCAGATTGTTTTCTTCTCTATTGCTTGAAATTACTCATAAAAATGAGACTCTATTTAGTGACTTGAGGCATGATGACAAAGTGAGGTTTGGTGATTTTTCTGATTTTCTTGATTCAGTGTCTGTGCAGCATTAACAGCAAATAGGTATTTCCTTATAATCTGGATCAATAGCAAAACGTTTGATTATTCGCAAATTTTAAAGCTAGGCAACCTATTTCCTGCTTTATTTCTCAAATGATTCTTGCTGAATTATTTCTTTCTCCTGCAAGCTTGCCTTGGATCAGTGTCCAGGAGACAATCAGGGACCCAAATGAATTTGCTTGACCTTGTCACCCCATCAAAGAGAAAAATAGGCAATTCAGAAATAAGAAATTTGTTTTTTTTTTCACAACTGGAATAGTGTTGTCACCATTTCCTAATAATTAAAATACATCAGGGACAAGGTAAAATTATAAATAAATAAATAAATAAATCATTTTTAGAGTGATCCTCCAAAATTTTGAACTTCATAGCCAGTATTTCAAAAGGGACATGTTTGTCATTGTTTCTTCACTACAAAATAAATTATTGGAGGAAATCTTAGATCTTTTAAAGCTATTTGTATCTACAGCTATGATTTGCAGTACTGAAAATGGCCAGTTCAAGGAGGAAACTGAAATCTACTCATGCTGTGCTGCAGAATATATAGAGAGCCTTGCTCCTCGCAAGAAATTATTTATAAAAGGAGCAAGCAAATGTGGGAGTTTGTCCTTTTACTTCCAAACAAAATGGTTTGTAGAGAGAGTGTGGAAATATTATTAGTTTTAACAGTATTTTTTCTCTATGTATTGACTGAGATTAGGTTTCTCCTGCAGCAGAACCTCCCTTAAGAGGATATTTACAGCTACTAAGGATTATCTGTATCTATTCAGAGCAACTGCATGAAGTTTTACTATGTTCTATGTTCCCTAGGGTGGGTTTCTTTTTTTTTTTAATTAATTTAGCTTGCCTCTTACTAGTGCTCTCTTACTTTTAACCTATTAATACTGCCAGTCACAATGCACTTCGGTCCTTTACTCCCTGCCTAATGGAGTGGCAGGTTGGATATGATAAATTCTTGGGGATCCTTGCAAATATCTTGGTGAGGGTACAATTTTGAAGAGCCAAGGGCAAAACATGCACTGGTTAAAAATATTCCTTCCCCATCTAACGTTGCTTTTTCCTCAGTGAAGATGCTTGTCAAATTACCCCTAATTCTCTTCTTCAAATCCGAGGCAGCTCTAAGATAGCACTAACTGATCGCAGTTTCCATAAATTAGACTGACTAATCAATAATTTAGATTCATCAGTGGAGAGGAACAAAGGCCTTTCTTCATTCCTATGGGAGTTTTACAGAAAACAGGCAGGAAATGCTCATTATCAAGTGGAAAGGGTACTGAAGCAACAGACTTGAATACAAATCTTTCATGGCTCAGGAAATAAGTTTTTAGATAAACATGAAAATTGAGGTTTTCGTATCCAGAGAACTGGGAGAGCATTTCCTAACTTAGTATTTAAAGCACTTTTTTTAGCTTTTTTTTTTTTTAATTAAATACCTATATAGATTCTATCTCTTCCCCTTCTGATTTAGAACGAGATGTTAGCGGATGCCTTAAACTACCCTTTCATCTCTAAAGTCTTTCACATCTTTGTCTCCTAAGGTCATTTGTTTGTTTATGCCTTGCTTTAGGCCATATCGGTCTCGGTCTCTTCCCCTCCCATCTACCTCCAGGCCCTAGACTGCCTTGTGTGTTAATAACATTCCCATGGAGTGGTTCCTGTAAGCAGGAAATATGATTGGGCTCCCCACTTTTTGCTTCTTTTAGAAGCCAATGTGAATATGCTGCCCTTTTAGCATAAAATGTTTCACTTTGCTTCTGGCAGGATCTTCTAAAGGGCAACATGAAACAACCGATTCACACAAGGCCTTGCCATCTGTGGTGCAGTTTATAAAGCATCCTTCAACTACAGGAACTTGCGGAATAATGATAAAGTAAAACAATTTTAAAAGAGTTAATAGAAGGCTTGGCATATATCCTAGAATCAGGAAATGGCACTACAAGGATGACCCGAAAAACAAAATAAAAATATCTGAAGTACAAAATATGCCTATGACAAGTGTTTTGCCTTTACTGCAGCCGTATATAGATGTGTTCTTTCCACTACTTAGTGATTACGAACCGGA